ATTCTTCATGAGCTTTCCTTGTTCAGGATCTAAAGTGCAGTTCTTACCCACACGGAAGAATGAAAGCCTCGTTTCCCCCTACTCGGTACCTTGCCTTTACCTTAGCCACCCTGTACTGAAGAATTCTAGCAGTTTGGAATACTGAGTGTTGGCCACCATCTCCAAACACAGAGAAAGTACCAGAGAAAGGGAACTTTGCTCCACAAACTTACAACTTTTAGCAGAAAGAAACACAAAACCACCAGAAAGCCATTTTAATTCGCAGCATATCCCTTTGACAGAGGTGTAACATTACTGACAGAGTGCTCTGATAAAGGAAGAACAAAGCCTCCTAATCTGGATATTAAAGGTAAAATGACAGTAGAGAATGAGTTCATCTAAAGACAAAGGAAGAATCCAAAAATCTGGTTTGGCTGTCAATGTGTCTATTTTTTGGAGCCAGAAAAACAACCCGGCAGCTTCAATCAGTTTCAGAAAGGGAGTTGTCATTAGTAGTTTTTTGCAATTTTCCCATCTCTCCCTGCTGATAGTAATACTTAAGCCTATATATTTAAGTGGCATTGCAGAAAAGGTACCTGAAGAAAGCTTGTTTTGTAGTGAATATACTTTGTAAAATACAGTATGTCTGAAGTGACAACACGCCTCCAAGACTGAAATGTTTCCACCAGATGGACAATTTCCTTAGCCAATTATCAGGAGCTGGAAAGTTTGACAGATACCTTCTAGTCAGAAAAATATTCAAGACTTGGGGGGCAGAAGGGAGAAAAGGACTCCAAGAACACTGTGGGAGAGGGGATGGCAGCTCCCTGCCACAGAGAAGCTTCCAGAATGTCTACCAGAGTAGCATCCCTCAGTACAGAGCAGGAGTATAACCAGCTTGTTATGCTGAAGAAGCTATGAAAGGAAAAATAAAGGGAAAAAAGGCTTTCTGTTTCTTCAACTTTTAGAATATCCCAGTCACAACAGTAGGAGCAAAGGGAGTACAACCCCAACATTCTGCCCCTCATTCAGATCACTGATAATTACAAAGAGGTACAAGTTAAAAAGAAAAAAAAAGGTTTCTTCGACTCTTTTTCTACAGTCTCCTTTTTTTTTTTGGATTCTACTCTTTATAAATTGTATTATTGCTTGTGTCCATGGCATTGCTGATAGCTTTCCCAAACACTGGCAACAGGAAACGACCCAATTTGTGACAATTTCACTGCTACGTGTAGTGTTGAACTGCAGCTGTGAAACTGATTGGGCTCTTAGTTTATTCATGTGCTGCTCATCAAATGTACCAGTAGCTGCAGTAGGGGTAAGAGAGCTTCCTTTAGACTCAGGAAGATAAACCAAAATATAAACAAAGGCAGTCTTGTTACTCTCAGGGACCGTCTTTCTTCAAATCAGGGCTGTCCAACTGGTGGCCTGTGGGCCACATGAACGTAGGGCCCCCTGGCTCTCACTCAGACTCCTTCCTCCAGCTGCAACTTCCTGCTTTCACCCCAGGGATGGGGCAGTGCAGCAGCACTTGGAGCTGAAGGTGCATCTAGGTGGGCAAAGTCTGGCCCATGGGCCGGATTCAACCGGCAGCAGACTCCATTTCCCAGCAGCCCTTGCCTGTGCAGCTATGGCTGGTTTCCATGGAGACCCCAGCAGCAGCCACAGTGTGATAGTGCATGGCCAGGGTTTCCTTGGAGACCAGCCCCAGCAGCAGCACAGGCCTCTTCCTGGCAGTGGGGGTCATGCTGCAGCCAGGAGTGGGGGGGGCTCAGGTATGGCTGTGTGGTGGCCTGTGTGGAGCAGGCAGCACAAATGGTGCCACTGGGAGGGGTGGGTATGGGGGGCTATAGGGAAGTTTGGGGTGGCTATAGCTCCCCCAAACACCATACCTGCATGGGGGGCAGGGTGTGTGGCAGGGAAGGGAGTTGCTCCAGGGCCAGGCTGGGATCTTATGGCAATAACAGCATGGTCCAGAGCCAGGGCCGAGCTGCAATCTGCAGCCTGCATGCCCCAGGCAGGGACATGCAGGCAGCAGATCCCACCCCTGCCTCAGATCCTTGCAGCAATGACAGTGTGGTCTACAGCTGGGACAGGGCCATGATGCACTGA